AGACAGCGCTGCCACTGGGAAAGTCTCCACCTTCAAGATACATCCAAGGTCAAGCTCAAGGGAACGCTGGAGGCCAAGTGGAGCCTAGCGGGCAGCCTCTGACTGAGATGGCCTCTGGTAGAGGAAACCATGAGGAACGAGCTCCAGAGAGGGTCACCATCAAACAAGAGAACCTCCCTTATGCTTACCTGGAGGATGGTGAGTACTACTGTTTATTAATTACTATTATATCCTGTTTTCCTAGACGGCTCAATATGCTTCAAACAAAGTTCTGGTCAGATTTTTGAACAGCGTCTGATTCGCCCCCTGTCCCTCACATCTTTCTGACTTCAGTCTTTCTGTGTATCTTAGTGTGTCTGTTTGTAACTGTCCAAGATAAGACAGACACGAATCGTGCAAACTTCGGAGATTGGCAAGAAAGTATGCTGAGTTTAAATTTCTATTGTTTTTTCATTCTTCACTCAATTACTTTCTCACTTTTAATTGCTTTGCCAAAAAACTGAATGGGGGAACTTTGGAGTGACATATTGAAGCCTGGGGGATGGGTAAATTGTGGTCCAGTCTGCAAATGCATTCAAGCACACTGCAACTGAACGCTTGCAAATCCTGCCTTGTGGTTTTCTCTTGGGCCTTTCTATCCACTTTCCTGTCTCTTTTGGTGTCACTCTCTCTCTCACACACACACAAACACACACCTGTAGAAGCTTTGTGAGCATGCCCAGTCTCGTTTGAAATAAATGAGACTGAAATAAATCTAACACAACTTGCTTATGGTTCCTGGTGTATTTGAGGATGACGGAGGATAAAAAAGCAACACCACTATCAAGTGAGAGAACAAGTGATGTGCTACCTTGTTTGTTGTGGGGTAAAGTTTCTGTTTACAACTCTGTGATGTAAGACTGGAACAGGAAGTCTGTTGTAATGGGAAATACATGCAGACACACCCGATGAATAAAGCTTTGTTCTGGTCTCTGATACAGACTGGAGTAATAGTGAAAGTTTAGGTAACTACTTACAATATGTTTTACTAATAATCAGAAGCAATTTTAACCAATGTTATTATTTCTACTAGTTATTGATTCTGAAGATCATATTTAATATTAATCATATCTTTATTCTTTCTGTCAAAAGATTCATGCGCAACACCCATGCTTAGTTTTGCAAGGAATAAGATTCTTGATTAGCCCAGAAACCATTGCACATAAATCTTCAAAAAATAGACATCTAGAAGACACTAATGTAATTCATCACATGCAGGTATTGTAGACTGATTTGTATATGAAATAAGAACATTTCTTGGGACACCATGGTGGCTTAGGTGTTTTAACCACAAACCACAAAGTCCCAGGTTCAGGTCCAGCCAGGGACCTTTGTTGCATTTCTATGAAAGTAGAAACATTATGAAGCACTACCAACAGCTAACAGCTAGACTAGATGGGTTTTTAGTTTACATTTAAAAACATCTATACTTTCAGCTGCTCTTTCTCTGGATGCTGCTCCAGCAGTTTGGAGCATGTTTTTGTTCTGCTTTGTGGGACAGTGAGAAGAACTGGTGGATCTGAGGGGCCTTCCTGGTTGATAAACCAAAAGCATTTCAGAGAGACAGTCTGGTGCTATAAACTAACAAAGGGAATCATGTGAAAGCAACACCAGTTTTGTCTCTATTTTTTCCCCAAACAAAAACATGTGCAGTGAGAATTTTAATAATCTACACAAAGGGGATTTAAATCTAAAAATAATGCATATGGTAGATTAAGAATACAGGATGAACTTCTTGTCTTGCTTGAGTGTCAATTTACAGCGTAATTGGATACATTTCTAAATTTCCCCTACGGGGGATTAATAAAGTAATATCTTATCTTAAAGGTACTCTCTCCTACTTGTTTTCCAGTGAATGACATCATAAGAAGAGACCTGAAAGGCCACAATGGAAAGTGATCCTGGAGGCCTGCAGCATGATAATGTCCATGATGTCCATCAGATTTAACGTTTAAAAGCAGTACACATAATTTGTCGACTTCAGGAACTATAAATATAAAATCTTGATTGTCTCAGGGGAAGCTTGTACTTGTTAGACTTGTAATAAGAAAATGGACAAACAATAGAAAATGATCCACTATAAGTTTATGTTGACTTTATTTCGGGATGACATTGTGTTTCTGTGGAACTAGGAAAGGTTGTGGTTCAGTGTTTTTTTTTTTTTCTTTTTACATAAAATACAGGTCAGATCTTTGTTAGATTTTAATATTGCTATACATTTTAGCCAAAAGATAGTAGAACATGTGTGATACCTTATACTGTGTTTGACTACTCTATGTTCATATATTTGTACAATTGCTTGTTATAAGCATGTATAAAATGTTTTATATTAAATAAATTCTGTTTATAACAATCAGTGTGTTTGTAAGTAAAAAATTACCTAATACAACTGCCTTTGTCTTTGAAACCTTTCCTGACATAAAGTTGTATTTTATTTTTATTTAACATTTATTTAAGCAGAGGAGGACCCATTGAAATAAAATGTCTTTTTCAAGGGCGCCCTGGTCAAGAAAGGCAACAGGACAGCAAGTCTGACAGTACAGACATGAAACGACAACAATGCAATCAAAACATCTACCATTTTACCTATACATATTTGCAACAGCAACAGTACACAAAAAAACCCCCCAGTACATTAAGCCACCTTCATGCAGATAAATACACTAATGCCTCCTCATTTAAAACATTTACATTCATCTTAAAAAACTTTTAAAAAAGGATTTGAACTGCAAAAGGCACCAGCACCTCCAACTGGAAGGTCCTTTGCAAAGAGTTCCAAGGAGACAGGGCACATCATGAGAATCTGAATTAGCTTTATTGCCAGGTATGTGTACACACACGAGGAATTTGACTCTGGTTTGTACAATGCTGACGATGTGCTTACTCATACAAAATCACATTAATAAAAATTAAATAAAATCAGACACAGACTTCAGTCTAGACAAAACAAATATACACACTAAGAACAAAAACAATATAGACATATTGACAAATAGTGCAGTGAGCAGAGTGCAAAGGATGCAGGAGTATGTACATGTCGGGGGTGGATGTGATATAGGCTACAGGTACATATACATGCATACATGTACACATGTACACAGTGCAATGAAGCATAGTGCAAATGATGCTGGATTAAATAAGTATTATAAGTATTTTGTGCAGGAGTTAGGACTTGAGGTAGGTGGACTGGTAAACAGTATCTACAAAATGACAATATAACAGTATGAACAGCACTGAAATAGAGAATGGTGAATAAATAATAAGTGTTAACCAGTAAACAGGTGCTAATTAGAGGCAGAGTTAATGGGTTATTGCACAAGAATTGTTCGTGACACCGTGAGTCAGAAATCAGTTGTTCATCAGTGTGATGGCTTGTGGGAAGAAACTGTTCCAAAGTCTGTTGGTTTTGGCGTACAGTGCTCTGCAGCGCCTACCAGAGGGGAGAAGCTAGAACAGGTTGTGTCCGGGGTGAGATGGATCTACAGTGATGTTTCCTGCATGTTTCCTGATTCTGTAAATGTACAAGTCCTGAATGGAGGGCAGGCTGGCACCGATGATCTTTTCTGCAGTCCTGACTGTCCATTGTAGTCTGTCCTTGTCCTTTTTGGTGGCAGATCCAACCCAGACAGTGATGGACGTGCATATGACAGACTGGATGATGGCTGTGTAAAAGTGGATCAGCAGGTCCGGCAGGTTGAGCTTCCTGAGCTGGTGCAGGAAGAACATCCTCTGCTGGGCCTTCTTAATTATGGTGTCCATGTTGGGCTCCCACTTCAGGTCCTGGGAAATAGTGGATCACAGAAACCTGAAGGTATCCAGAGCAGACACAGGACTGTTGAGTATGGTGATGGGGGGCAGAGTGGGGGGGCTCCTCCTGAAGTCCACGATCATCTCCATAGTTTTGAGCATGTTAAGCTCCAGGTTGTTCTGGCCGCACCAGAGAGCCAGCTGATCAACCTCTCGTCTGTAGGCCGACTCATCACCGTCCTGGATGAGGCCGATGTCCGTTGTGTCGTCAGCTAATAGTCCGGGTGCTGGATGTGATGTTCCCCAGTCTCACCTGCTGACTCCTGTCATTCAGGAAGTTTGTGATCCACTGACAGGTGGAGGCTGGCACAGTGAGCTGGGTGAGTTTGATGCTGAGGATGTCCGTGGTGATGGTGTTGGACGCCGAGCTGAAGTCCACGAACAGGATCCTTGCATATGTCCCTGGAGAGTCAAGGTGTTGCAGGATGTAATGCAGTCCCAAGTTGACTGAATCATCCACTGACCTGTTAGCCCTGTAGGCAAACTGAAGGCAGTCTTTCCCAACAATGAAGTCACCCAGGAAACTTTTTAAAGCCATAGACTGCATACGATGACTACTGACCACAAAACTAAGGAGGCTACTAATGTAATTCAATATTTCAGCAACAATTATCAAGTTAATTCAATATATAATTTCTAAGATGACGAAGCAAATCAATCTCCTGCCTGAAAATATCTTACTTCTGTAATTAGTAGAGGCAGTTTGTTTAATGATGATTACCACGCAATACCAAAATAGTGTAGGTCAAATCAGTCATACAACAAATGTCCAAACACTTTAAGTTAAATATTAAGATTAAAACAGCAACTAACAACAATTAAAGCAATCACCCTGAAAAGTGAGAGTGCTGATGCAACTCAATGTAACAGTTTTTATGTCTAAATACTGAATGTTATATAATAAGTAGGTTATATTTCATTTCAATTATTAGTTTGAGCTAAGCACCCAGGCTACTAGCTACAGTAATAAAAGTAAACACTGGCTCCGTAGTTTATGTTTATGTTTATGTATTAAATACCTTACACTTAAAGTAGTGAGACTCAAAAGTTTATTTTCCTCTCTCAAGCAGTAACAGTCAGTGCTCAACAAAGACGCTAGGTGGCGACGTTTTCAAACCAACCGTTTACCGGATCGGAAGCGGAGCATAGATTTATGATGTCACTTCCGATAAGCGGATGTTGTTATTTTCTCCCTTTGTAAGCTAAATTAGCATTTTCCTCATTTGTGCTCTTACATGTTGATGTTTTCATTCCCGTAACGACAAGCGAGAGTGAAGGTTCCCGCCGCTGGTACGCTTTTTCTTCCACACTCTTATTGTATTCATGAACACCTCAAATCTATGAATTGAAAAATGTTGCAGACTGGTTTGGTACGTTGCAAATGACCCTTAGCTATATTGTATTGTAAATGTGTCCCAGCCATGTCTATCAATCATTGAAAGTTTTTATTAGCATGAAGGTATGAGAGCTGAAGGCATCATTTACATTTCCAAGATTGTCTTTTGTTATTTATAAAATCTTTATATTTTATAAATTTAAATTGTGTGGGGCGGGGGGGAAAAGCTACGATGTTTCTACACATTTACCTCCTCTTCAGTTTGTGTGGGACCCCATGAAACCCCCTCATACACCATTTCTCTCGGATGAGACATATTGTTGATCATCCTGCTACATTTAGCTGACGCTTTTATCCAAAGCCACTTAGAATTGCTACATGTCAGAGGTCGCACGCCTCTGGAGCAATTAGGGGTTAAGTGTCTTGCTCAGGGATACTATGGTCACAGTGGGGAATTGAACCCGGGTCTCTAACACCAAAGGCATGTGTCTTATCCATTGCATCATCACCACCCCTGCTAACCATGGTCCTGTTGTTTGCAGAGAAGAATAACAGACCAAACAGCCGTATCATGTCTGCAGAGCTGGACCTGTCCCCTCCAGAGGTCCCTGAGCCAACCTTTCTAGAGAGCCTACTGCGGTATGGGCTGTTTCTGGGTGCCATCTTCCAGCTCATCTGCATCCTGGCCATCATTTTCCCCACATCCAAGGGACATGAACAGGTAGGTAGAAACTAAAGAAAGGAGAGGGGTAGGGCCCCCTGTTCCCCCTTCAAATTGTGTTTTCCAGGCTGTTGCTCTCTGTGTAGGTTACATTATGTTTTGGTGCTGCAGAGATAACTGGTCAGGGATACATTTGGGCTCATAGTAAAGTGAGGGGAAACACACTTCGACACAAACGGGCAGTGATCAAAACATTAGTGGTTTTCAAAGTCAAAGTGTGAGGTGGGCCTCCCCAGGGGTGACGCAGATGTTCACGTTTGGCTCTCTGATTGGGTCTTATAAGTCATGCAAAGTAGAAACACGATGCTACTGACAGAGTTTTTGACTTGATATTTTTATTTAAATATTTTGTACCATGCAAATAACACTTAGGCTGTAGCCTACACTTGTACTGTGTTTGTCGCCATATTTACTTTTCGACAACTCCCAGTCTGTTTTCCGCCGCCACAGCCGCTTTTAACTCTCGTGTTACATTTAGTAACAGTCCCAGCTCGTTATTGGTCCATGTAAAATAAAATCTGGTGTGGTTCTTCATCTGTAGTACCTTATTCTTTTGCCAAATCTTCTCTAACTACGGAATAGACCTTCTGCTTCATGTTTAAACCGACACTTGAACGGCCACTAGATGTGCGTTTTCAGTCATTTTAATGTTGACGGAGATCAACTCTGATATGCAGCTAAAACGCTGGTGTGGACGGAGATCGTATTCATTTTAAAACTCGTAGTAGTGTAGATGGGTCCTCGGTGAGTGGAAGTGAAAAAGATATTACATTTGTTATGCAGAAGACATCATATAGAACAGCCTACATGTGTGTGATTAGGTCAAAGAGAAAGTTCAGAGATGCAGCCGTTTTAGGGAATGTTATTGTTTTTCCCACTTTATCAGATTCAGAAACTATATTTATATACTGTGTGTGTGTTTATTTATTTTTATATATATATATAATACTTTAGGATAGACCTTTTTTACGTATTTGTGCAGTCTGAAGTTTTCTCAAACAATATTAGGCTATCTTGGTTCAATTGTTGAATGTCAAATTAACAAATCAAATTAACTTAATCATGATCTTTTAGCCATCTAGGAATTCAGCAAAACTAAGCAAGGGGGTTGAAGGGCCTTTTCCCCAGCTTTGTCTGAGGGGAGGCCCACAGTCTCAGACATTTAAAGCCCCTGCTGTACACAATACCCTCTACCTGATGTTTTTTTTCTTGCATGATAGCAGAATGTATCGCTATAAAGTGCTTGCTTTGATACACCTGCCAACATGGTGTTTTTTTTAATGATTTAACTATCTCTGTTGAATCTATTAACTTTCACATGTCTTGATGACATTTTAAAATGATTTTTATTTGATAGATTGACTGAAACAGAAGAAATAGGGGATTGATGTTACAAATGTGACAATTTTACCCAAAATGTCACATCTAAATTCTGGTCACATGAATCCACTTTTCCATCAGGACACACATTGTGAGTTTAACCTGTTAATCAGGCATTTTGTTTTCACCTTATTATTGTATTTGAGTTGTTGAAAAATCTAAATGTAGGCAGCAATTTACAAGTCTGGAACCAGGTTAGCACCATTTGCTAAAATTTATGGTTTGGATTTGGATGTACTCAAGGAAGGTTCCCACACAGATTTCAAAATCTTATTAAGACTTTTTGTGAGGGTGTTTGAATGCTGTATTAAAAAAAAATCTCAGTATCACCTGAGTTTGACTTGATTTTATGTAACATTATGCATACATTTGGTATGCAGCTAAATATTATTTTTCACAACAAACAACAAAGTTGTGAAACTCAGTTTTTCAAGAGAGTCTAATTAGATTCGGATCACTATTAGTATTAAAAAAAAAATTTGCTCAAGAAGATGTGACAGTCCTTAATAATGTGTGATGACACCATACAGTACACCCAAGCTCACTTGACTGGTTTCTTATCATACATATATCTGAAAGATTGAATGTTCTGTATAATGATTTTCACTAACTGCAGAAGGGGTGAAAAATAATACTCTCTGTGGTGGCTACGCCCGGTATCACACTAATATTATTAGAAATATTGGCAGTGTTTTGCTTGACAGACATACAGGTTCAGCAATAAGACCATTTTGTTAAGAGAAATCTTTCAGAATGTTTCCATTCAGTCTTTCTGAAATACAGAGGAACCAGCCAAACAATTAGCAAGAATAGTGGTGAAAATCTGATTTTTTTTAACGTCTGTAAAGACGGAGCCACCAAGGGCTACTCTCACAATCGCCATTCTAGCAACTGTCAGGAGAGATTATTTATAGACAAGAGCAATTAAATCCACTGTCTAATTATTCTATTTTCAGACACTGTCTTCAGTTGCACTGATTACTCTCCACAGTATGTCGCCATTTCATTCTTCACTGTTCACTGTTCTTGCCACAGTAAAGATTGCACTCACAGAAACCGTGCTAACAGACGGAAAGTGCTGTGTATGTGTGCGCCAAAAACAAAGGTAGATAAGAGTACAGAGTCTGAGCTATCTGGTGTGATGAAAAACTGCATTACCAAAATGAATATTAGGTATTATCTGTACTAGTCAAGTCAAGTTTTAGTGTCACATATACACAATTCAACATAAGTGCCCAGCTCCAGAACGAGTCTAACAAATAGATAAATATAAACCTATCTAGCAAATTAAAAATTAATAAAATAGAGTAAAAAAGTGTTTCATGAAACTACTTACTATAAATATTTACCTATAGGCAAATACTCTGTGTGAGTGTCTGACAGCAAAAGCATTGTTCAAATAAACCTTCAGAACACCCTTATCCTAACGTAAATTACAGGGTGTTTAATGCTTCTTGTTTGCTCTACAGGAGGAGACGGAGTCCACTGATGGCAAGGCAACCGAACAGATGAAGAAACCTAAAGGACCAGCACCTCAGATTCGACAGAAACCAAAGAAAGAAAGCAAAAAGAAGCGATAGATAGCACTGTTTGTGGGTATTCGTGCATTGTTACCTGCTTGTGTGAAAGTGTATATGTATAGTCATCAGTGAGTCAACATTGGCAATTACCAGTGCAGTTGTCACTACAGGTATATGAAACACTAATGTCATATTACAGCAATAACAAATGATGTGCATTTAATTTGAGACACTTCATAATGCCCTTCAACTGTGTATCTTACTCACATTCAACATAGTATTACAAAGAGCAAATAATCATGGCGTTGCTGACTGTTTATGCAGCTACGTATTTTATTGGGCACATTCGTTTTGCATTTATTTTCTTTTATAATTGAATATCATTGAATTGTATTTGCATTACAATAACAAATAAACACATTGAGTTGTCATTCACCATGGCTGTTCATATTAATTGGTAAATGGTTGGATTAAATGAGTATGAATGAGATCATGTTCTGTCCTTATATTTACTCCCTTTGGATGACAGAATACATCATGACTTTCTTATAAAGCTACAGTTTTGTGGTAAAACTGCAGGCAAGATTGCACTCACACAAACAGTGCGGACAGAGGGGAAAGTGCTGAAACGCAATTTTGTTTGGTGTATTTGTGCTCTTTATACGGAGTCTGAGCTATCTGGGGTGATGGAAAAACTGCATTACCAAAATGCATATTACTTATCTGTAATTACTGGTATATTTGAAAAAAATATGGAAATGTATTTATTTATGTAAGTCAAGCCAAGACTGTATCCAGAGGGGCAATTAGTTTGTATGTAACCCTATGTTAAAAACTTATAACAGCCAATTTAGACTTATACGGTTGTTGTTTGTTACTGGAATAACAATATAGGCTTCAAAACGTCAGGCTGTAGTAGACTACTAAGTGTAGTTACCTGGATGGGATTTAATGAAGACAGAACAAATAAAAATGAGATTTGTTTGCATAAGGATTGCAATGGGTCAGTATAAATTCAGTTTGCTCTGAATTTACCTCCTGAATAATTTTAATTTCCCAAGTGTTACAAGGTTGTTATGCTTGAAGCAGGCCAACACAATAGAATATCCATCTTTTTTCGATCTGTTTCCACAAAGTAGATCCGGACCTCAGCTGCGATTGGCTGACTGGCGTCCGGATTTGAGCCTGGCCAAAAGTCCCTAATAACGGTTACGCATGACGCATAACGGTAAAGTTTTAATATGAACGCGCCGACTGACTCAAAGTTACCGTTCAGAAGAAGTAGGCCTAAGTGTGTGTCGCTTAGCAACCGAGTCTGCTAGCCAGCAATGAAGCTAATTGTGTTGTGGATGAAACGAGAGACCGATGCACTGCGCTTTTGTGTCGTGTTGTTGTAGCTTCCTAAGCGTGACTCCAGTTGATTTATTAAAAATATATATTTAAAAAGCCAAACGGGGGTGTCGAGCCTGCCAATGCCTCGGTGAAGTCAACTATCACGGCGTGGAGTTAGTAACGCAACATGACGTGAATCTTGACTCCGGCGTTGCAGCGTAAAAAGCGTAAAATCCAGACTCATCATATTTGCGCTCTCGTGTTTCGTCAGTGATGCGCTACCCCGTGCTTCCCCCCCCTACGAGGCATGTATCCTCCACATCAGACCACTCCTGCTTCCTCGCTATATGAATGTACCGCGCTGTCGACTCTTCCCAGCTGAACAGGCGACTCTACCGTAGGTTTGGTGTTTGTCCGGCCCACCGCAGCCGCCCCGGCAGCTGTGCTCTCTGCTCCTCAAGGCGGTCCCCGGCATGACCTCCCCTTTCTGCGATTCTACCGAGATTCGCTAAATGGGATTCGTGGCTTGCCCGAGATTTCCGCAGCCACTGGCCATCCGCTTTCATTATTTCTCTAATGAGGACAGCCATAAGGATTTAACTCGGTTCCTCGCTGCGCGTCTCTGATTTTTGGGCTAAATCTCCAGACGCGTCAAAGGTGAGTTAATTAGAGCTAGTGGTGTTGCGAGGAAATTAGATTTATTTCGGGAATTGCGTTCAGGTGCTTTTAATTTATTGTGGCTTATTCTCCCACACTGATGTTTTACACATGCCGTGTGATGCCCCCCTCTCACGCTGACTTGTGTTTCATTGTTGCACAGGCCATTCAGTCAGCGTTGCTCGCACATTTGGTCAGTGCCATTCAATCTGTGCCAGGGCTACGTTGTTGTCGATTTAGTAGCCTACACCCCATACAAAATGGTAACCGTATGTGCAAATATCAAAATTCTGACTGTCTCACGACCAAAGATGATGCGGGAATATGCAGTAAATCGACTGCGCACAGAAAATAGAGCCAACAATCCATCGAAATTCAAAATGGAGCTGTAACAGCACCTGTTTTGATTCATCAGGCCGCATATGCGCTTGTATGTGAGCTGGAGACTACGACAGCCTCAGCGGCATTGTAGCCTTTTAGCCCTGTTCCCATTCATAAATCCCCGTTTACGTGACTATAATGTGGATCAGTTTGGCAGTTTTTTTTTTTTAAATTTTAATTATTATTTTTTCCCCATAGCAAAGACGTTATCATCTTGACAGCTGCTACTCCTGTAGGCAGCTACTACCCCACCCCTTGTTTCTTTGAAAGCAGCTTTGCTGACAACTGGTGTTTAATCCCGTGGAAATAGAATTTTAATTATGTGGCTAATCTATTTACAGTTGGTTTGGGGGATTTGGACAAGTTCCAGCTAATTTCCAAAAGGCAGTGGATTCATGTTTGCTAAAAAATGACACACATGGGAAAGCTCTACATTGGTTGTTTAACACTGCCAACCACAGAAAGTACAATAACATGCTGGCCTTATCTGATAAACATGCAGCTAGAAATAATATCAAAATTAAAATACCTACTAGAATGACTTTATGTTTTACAAAGTGAGAGAGCGCCTATAAGCAGTGGGTCAAAATGCATAATGTTCCCTTTCAGAGAGCTGTAAAAGACTGAATTTGGTTTTAGTGCTGCAATTTAAGATTCATTTCATTGCCGTTTAATCTGTTGATTATTTCCTCGGTTAATCAATTAGTTGTTTGGTCTATAAAATGGTGAAAAATGTCAATTAGTGTTTCCCAAAGATCAAGATGAAATCCTCAGGTGCCTTGAAATCAGGAAAATTTTAACTTTTTTTCTTAAAAAATGACTCAAACCAATAAATCGATTATCAAAATAGTTCAGTTAATTTAATAGTTGACAACTATTTGATTAATCTTAAACTGAAGATTATTTTTATTAATGAAATCCACCATGTGTTTTCTCGATTTAATCATTCAAATGGAAGACATTTAAAAATATTCCCAAAGGTGTATGCTACATCGTTATCAATTATGTCTGGCCAACAGTTCAAAACCCAAAGATACTGAAATTACTGGCAAAAAGAAAAACACAGTAAATGTTGGGGTTTTTTTGCCATATTTCCTTGAAAAATTACTTGAGCCACTTATCAGAATTGTTTATTTGTTTAGGCTTCGTATAGACTGTCTGTAAATTAACTAGATTACAGGCCATCATTAATAAAATTAAGTGTTGTGAATTTGTAGAGTTGATAATTTGTTTAGAGTGTGGCACTTCGGAAATGAGTCGGCCTTCCTCCTTCCCCACCCTTTGCCCTGGTTTTGCAGAATCAATCATGGTGTAGCGGCCATTCCTCATAGCCTGGACCACTTGCAGCCAGAGTCCCCAGTTAAAGATGGACTGAAAGCGGACATGGTTTTATCAGCTGATAGGCCACAATCCCGCGGTCCACCTCTTCTTTTCCTTGCCTTTCCTCTGTGTGTTTGTCACAGAAGAAGAGGTGAGATGAAATGGGACAGCTAGTAGACACTGACTCAGACTTGGCTAAGTGACTGAGGTCGGCAAAATATTTGGGAGAAAAAGATAACAGAATATCTGATTGAGGCGTCCACAGTGCGAAAATGGGACAAGACTTGATCGTTATGTGGCTGCATTTTCTTTTCTTTGGCCCTCTTTAAATCAACTGCCCTCTCTCTCTCTCTAACCCAGGCTATATATAGATAATCTGTGTATTATACATGCATGTGTCGCACTGTTTCATGTTGTCATCCAGCATCCAGCAGGATAAGACAGTGATGCTAATGTGCACATTTCCTCTTGTTTTGATCTTGAGGAACCAGGATTGACCTCGCCCCCTTGCCTCTTCTCCCCAGGGCAAACTGTAATTTTCCCGTTCAAGTGAAACATTGGCTCGAGCTCGTTTACTCTGTGCTGCACAGTGGCAACTGTTACCGTCTGTTGTGACTCAGTGAGGTTTGTCATGGCCAAATGTGCTTATATGCCGGACCAGAAATGTACAGCTTGTGCGCTCAGCTTCAGATGGAGGATTACAAATGCTGATTAGATAAAGTTACATTCTGCAGACCTGTGCATTGTTACTGTTTAGCATTAAACATTGTCCTCAAACGCAGCACTTTGAAACATCATCTCCTGCAACAAATTGCTGCATTTATAGTATTGAACTTCAGCACCGAGGCTAATTGTTCATTCAGTTTGATTTATTTGAGTGGTGATGGCACATAGATAAGATGCTTGCATTTGGTGTGGGAGACCTGGGTTCGATTCCCACTGTGAGACAGCCACCATTGTGTCCAGTTGCTCCAGAGGCGTGCAACCTCTGACGTGTATAGCAATTGTAAGTCGCTTTGGATAAAAGCGTCAGCTAAATGAATAAATGTAATTTATACAATGAAATTAGAAACTAGCGATTTAATTTTCTCTACAAGACTTTAATGTGCAGATAATTCAGCAGATAATTGGAATGCCTGAAGTGAAGGCGCTATGCCCTGGAGAACAATATTGACTGTAGATCATCAAGGATTTAAAGGATGGCTTCATATTTTTTCATGTCTATGTACAACACTCCTGTCCATACTGACCTGACACCATTCCAATGTATGAGACAAAATCCACTGTCCTCGTTCTGTGCATAAATGCATTCTTACATTAATCTGAAGCTAAAATGAGGCTTCAGCAGTCTTGGGCTGTACTTGGGTACAGCAATGCTTTGTCGGCATGTCAAATTTCTAACATGCTGATGTTTACCAGGTATAATGTTTACCATGTTCACCATCTTAGTTTGGGGTGTTGGCATGCTAATATTTCCTGCTTAGAAGTAAACAAAGTACAGCTGAGGCTGATGGGAATGTCATTAGTTTTGAAGGTATATGGTCAAATAAAAAATTGGCCGACATCTGGCAATCTGTCGATGCCTGCACTCACCAGGCCGATATGTAAAACATGTCTGCAGACAGCCTTGTCAGTGTGGCTGCTGTGGAACGATGTCAGCACTCCCGCTTTTGAGTATGGGAAGGTGGGGAAAAAGTTAGTATGGAGCCCTAAATTTCCTCAGTCACCATTGTCTTTTCTAAATGTTAACACAATGACAGCTATTCTAAACTAAAACCATTTCTGGCAGCTAGAGTTAAATATATATTGTTAGATTGTAGAGACAAATGCAGTTGAATGATGTCATTTCTGACAGACTGTATCATGATCTCCCTTAAACCCTAGACATGTTTTGAAATCTACAGCATAACCCAATGTATTTTTTCTATTTCATTAATTAATAAATATTCTATTTAAAACAGCTTACTGGCTAAGATAACCATGTACAGTACCAGTCAAAAGTTTGGACACATTTTCCCATTTAAGTCAATTGGAAGGTGTGTCCAAACTTTTGACTGGTATTGTATATTCTATTGTACTCTAATCTTCTTTGTTTTGATATCGGCATGATATATCAGCCATCGGCCACCCTGCTCTCTAAATACTGGCATCGGTCATTGGAAAAAAACAATATCAGTCGGTACTAAATGTTATGGCAATCCATCCAAGACTTGATGAGAAAATTCAGTCAACGCCACAAATTTGAAACTAATGTTGGTGCATGTGGAAAAGTAAGGGGATCACCAAAACCAGCTGGATTTATCACCTGGGAGCCATGAATGTCTGGACAAAATTTCATGGCAATCCATCCAACAGTTTTTGTTTGTTTTTTTTTTTCAGTCTGGACCAAAGTAGTTAGCTTTGTCTTAACTTCCTTGAATGTATTTTACACTGAACGAGGACTGTAGATTTTGACCTCCGTCACTTATTGGAATCAGGTGAAGAGGATCTCTCTTAAAAAATAAAAAATAAAAATAAATCACATACAGCGCACATACAAGTGACACATAATGCAGATAATGGCTGTGTCCACTCCAATGTGATGTCTGCAGTGTTAGAAATGGTGTTAGGACTTGCCTGCTTTATAAAATCAACATTCCTTTCAGACATCTGAGCTCTCTTACTTTTACTCTCTCCTCCTTTCCCTACATTGTTTCCCTCTCACACCCAGTATTCAGTTCATGCACAGAAACAGTTTTATAGATTTTGTAAGACACTGTCAACACTGAGACTGCGAGAAAGACACAGCTTAGTGATAAATGTTCTGCAGAAAAAAGTGCTCTTGAACTCTGTGGTGGTTCTCAGGTAAATACCACTTGGAGAACTGCCTTTTGAACAAAGTCTGTATTTGCCATGATTCATATCTAATCCTTAAAATCTCCTTTCCCACAACACAACCAGGCAAAACTTTATACACAATCAGTGCATCTCTGACCTTTCTGACATCATTAAACCACATTACATATGTCAATTTTTACAACACACAGAAAAGCGCTTTTAACATACATGCACCAATACAGCCCCAAAAAAGGAGTAAAAATGTGTTGAGTTTGATTTATAAATAAAGAAAAGTGATAAATGATAATGGCAAGGTGCAGCAAGAGTTTTTTCTGGAGGGAGATTTTTGATTTGTGTCCCAGGAAACTGGGAAAATAGAGCTTCTTTGTTACAGACACCCCCACCCCATCTCCCTCCTCGCTTCCTTCCTCCCATCCCGCCCTCCCGCTGCTCAGGTGCCTGTTCTTGTTGCAGTCGCTGGCAGTCGTAGCAGTGCGGCGCAGTCTGGTTCTCCCACATTCCTCCACGCTCCTGTTGAATGGAAGGAGCTGAAATCCCTCCTATTCTCCCCTTCCTTATAATTTATCCATGTTTTTATTTCTGCACTTCTTTCATCATTTGTCTGGTATACTTTTTCCTCCTTCACTGCATCATCTTCGCTCCTCCATTTTTAATCATAATGTTGGAAGTGGTCACAAGTTCGCTCTTCTTGATTTTAGGGCACTCTGACACTATATTAAGAAAAGGCGTGAGGCTCCCGCTACAGTGATAGTTCTGTTTACATACGCAGGCTCTGAGGCTTTCAAGGGTACTCTGGTGTTTGCAGCATCCTGGAGATAACCAGGGCAAAGTGCCCAAAGTTACTGTTTTGGGATTGTTTGCAATGTTGGACGAGGATCATTACCTCGCCTTATCAGTGTGTGCTTAAACCTGATGATTGGTCAGTTTTCCAAATTGCCTTGACTTTCTACCAGAGTTAAATTGTCCAGTTCAGCCAGGTACTTGTCCTGCTGAACTGTCCGTGAGGAAGATATTGGCTATGTTCAAATTCCCTGTGTTATGTACTAATTGGATGGAAGTTTTAAGACCTGCAAATTTAATTTGTGAAAGGTTTATGTAAACATTAGAAGTCCCTACAGGATCACAGCAGGGCCATATTTTTGTGCCTTCCCTATAGAATCGATCCAAGTGGGGAAAAACTTAATTTATACATACACTAGGTACACCTGTACAGTCAGGCCGACCTAAAGCCTAGTTTTGATCTATCATCAGTATTATCAGTATTTTTACACATCCATATACAGTCGCACTGTGAATGTTCTTTCTGACCAATTTATGCAGAAATGAAGGTAATTCCAAAGGGTTCACATATTTTTTCCTGAGACTGTTTCTTCACATCAACAGACATGGTGACCCATCTGGTAGAAGTTACTTAACTGATGAAACTGTACTGCTAGTTCCAACTAATCTGGTGTTTTACTGCATCTTCTTTGCCTTTCCATTCCTAAAGCATTGGGCTTCTGTGGGCTGCGCTGTGGGTCAGATGCTAAAACTTTGGGCTGTTCAGGAGTCAGGACTGAAACGGCGCTTGAGAAACCTTTCTGGGAGGCCAAAGTAAGATAGTAGCAAGACTCTTTATGTAAAATGCAAGAGATGGGTAGAACATGAGCATGTGAAGTTGTTGCAATTAAATACATAAAGGTAAATCCCATTTTAAAATACACATCACCAATTAGTTTTTAAATAGCACTGGCTCATTCCAGATCATTTCAGTCGTTTTTGCGTGGATTCAAGCACCTCAAGTATCTGCTTGTTTGCATATATATTGACTACGTGGACTGCTAAATATATCTGTTGCATAAGTGCCTCCATAATTGTTTGCAAAGACTGTGATCCAATGCGGTCCTTTCTGCGCATTCCACTTACGTTTGCTCCTTTTAAACATCCGAGCGCTTCCGCTCCTCAGTGAGCTGGTAGATGTTCGTGACTAGCCAACCAAATCGAGCAGTTTACTTTTCACACAATTCACACAGTCCTATCCACTTTTCCTGCAGGCCTATGAGCCTATCTCTGTGTGACTCAGTGTTGCACCATGGGATACGTTAACCCCCCCATTGCGCCAGATTACATCCTGGCAGGAGTTGAATCAAAGCTCGCATGACTGTACGTGTGTGCTTGAAATTGCTCACGCTCATGCACTCTCAGAAGCCTACATGCCCACACATCTCCACAGTGAGATCCTTCCATATCTTTGCGAGTTCCCATACCTGTGTAATTATGTTATGCTTGCACATTACACTTAAAACGCCCACTACGCCTCAGCTGTCCATGCAGTATACAACAACCACCCACATGTTCTTTTTACAGCCACTGCCAGTTCCTCCTTGTCTGTTAATAACCCTCTCTGTTCTGTCTGTCAGACTCATGAGTGTGCTGGAAACACATGTATGTGTTGGAAAAAGGATGTGAGACGCAACTGTGGTGGGGTGTTGGTGTGCGATAGAGCCTTGTTTCCCAGAGACCAAGGAGCAGCTGCTTGAGCGCACTCACCTACACACATGGTGCATACACTCTGTCTGGAACTGAGAGTGTCTGTATTCACAACGGAACAAGGATGTTTCATGTGTGTATGACTGTCTCTGTTTTAGCTGGCCTGAAATAGCCTATCTCACAGTGAGTCACTCTGCAGTGACTAGAAGGATGGACTGGACTTGTGAACACAGCGCTCCAACTTTCTGTGGGTGCATTTGACTGTCTGAGCATGTTTGTCTTTGTTGGCACTCTTGATGACAGCGTGATCTTGTTGCATTTATCAGGCCATAATACACATACACATCTACTGGGCATCAGGATGGAAAGGAAAGAAAACGACGGTATAATTACCTGTCAGGAAGGTGAAACTGTTTCTGTCCTTGTGAACTCATTAGTTTTAGCACTCAGTTTCATTATAGCCTCTGCTTCTTTGTTTGAAGCTTTGTTTTTCTTGTAGATGCTTATTGATTCAGAACAGATTCAATCAGATAGGAGACACAGATGGTGAATGACCTTGAATGTATGCGTGTTTCCTGTTTCAAGGTGTCTTGTTCTCAGAAAATTTGCACGCTAAACTGTTCTAACTGAACCTGGAACAGCTCCAAGGGTACTCTGAATGTGACGCTCACAGCACACGCTGCTAAGAGGAATTTTTGTTTGAGAAAGGTGAATGAAAAGAAACAGAAACAGGGTGAGTTCCTGAATGAATGGGAGTTTTTTTTTTTTTTTTTTTTTTTTTCTCTCTCTTCATTTAATTATAGACACAAGTTTAAAAGTAGACTGGCATGAAGCCACATTACTGCTGCCAGGATGAAAGTAGACCTGAGTTTTATATGATGGCAGTGTTTAGCTGAGTTTAGTTTAATTGAAAAAGTTGTGATTTTGATATAAAAATTTGGCAGTAGGGCTTCAATTAACATTTACTTTCATTATTGATTTAATGGATTTTTAATGGATTTTTTTTTTTTTGTAGTAATTACTTAGTTTGTAAACTGCCAAGTTGATGTCTTTAAATGTCTTGTTCTGTCAGTCATTTAGTTTACACTGATTAAAAAAAACAACAGAAAAGCAGCAAATTCTCACATTGGAGAAGCTGAAACCGGGTGTTTTTCCTTTAAAAATGTAAAAATTGTTTAATCAATGAATCTATTATTAAAGTAATTGGTGTTGTTTTTCTGTTTATCGACTAATTAATTGGTTAAGTAATGCGTATTTGTCACATAACAAGAAATAGAGATGACAGCCCAGAAGAGGCCTTTTTTTCATCTCCTGTGACTGATTCATCATTGGCTCTCTTCCCAGGTCTGCACATGGGGGCGGGCAAGAGCAAGCCCAAGGAGCCGGGCCAGCGCTCCATGAGCCTGGACGGCACCATCGGCACAGGCTCAGACAGCGGGCACTTCCACCACCTGGGCCCCGCCCAGCAGACCCAAACACCAAACAGGAGCCCTGCAGTTGGGACAGGCAGGCGGGGGCATCAAGGGCAGCACCAGCATGCCCCAACAAACACTCCTGAACTGGCTCTCTTTGGAGGGGTAGACCACACAGGCACCATCACCTCGCCTCAGAGAGGACCTCTGTCAGGTAGGCAACACTTTGTGGGATTGGTTAGATGAGGAAATACTGCAGAATACTGGAAATGGTTACAAATGCTATTAAAAAAGATTGTTTTCTTGAGTTTTATAGGCAGTGACCCAAACTAATTAGCATTTTGTCAACATTGTTCCTTAAAGTGGTAAAACAAAAAAATAAACAATAATTTAAAAAAAAAGAACAAAGTAAAAAAAGAAACTTAGATGAGAAGATTGGTACCACTGTCATGTCTGTACGTTCAATATGACATGCCTCAGCCAGCAGCTGACAAGCTTAGTTTATCTTAACTTAGCACAGAGACTGGAAACAGGGGAAAACAGCTAGCCTGGCTCTGTCCAAAGGTAACAAAATCTGCCTACCAGCACCTCTTAAGCTCACTAATTAACATGTTATTTCTTGCCTACAGCTTCAAGGAGTCTCTACTGGTTGCCTTATAACCTCACAGTGACAACAAAACTGCAGGTAGTCACTTCGGCCAAGAAATAGTCCTGCACAAAATGCCCTGTATAATTTGTGAATTTTATAGGTGCTGGTAGGCAGATTTTGTTGTTACCCCGTTTCTAGTCTTTCTGCTAAGCTAACAATTTCCTGGCTCCAGCTTCATACTGAACGTAGGGCTCGATAACCGCATAACGCAGGGGATGGATGGCAAGCAACCTCAACAACCGCTATGTTCATACCTTTTTGTTGTGTACTTCAGTGCAGGTTAAATAAATAAATTATTGCTTCAAAAATTCAACAAGCAAGGACAGGTCACCATGGGCTGTCCTTGACCTGCCTTCAAACTTGGAAGCTGTACATTTTGCCATGTTTTATGTTGTTTTCCGGTTTATTTTGTAGATTAGGCAAACTTGTCGTTATGATATTGTACGGCTAATGTGGCAGGCAGGCTGGGCGATGTTGGACAAATGTTGTAATATTGAGGGACAGTAAAGAGAAACTTGAAATAATGAGTGTAGTAGGTTGGATGCCTGTAACTGTGTTTTGGGTTTTTTTGGGGGGGTTTTCTTCATGCTGCTTTTTGTGGAACTTTAGCTATACGGCAGCACAGTTGTTAGTTGTTACTGTTACATGGAAGCCTACTCTTTCAATAAGATCTGGCTGTGGACTGTGGCACCGCTCACAGCGTGCCCCTCGCAGTAGAGTTTATCATAGGCTGTTGCCACGCCACCTTTCTCTACGGTCGATGCTTATTCTCGTCCAATTTGTACCGCAGATGTGTGAACATTATAGTTGATGGAAGTGATTTTAAAAAAAAAACATTATTTACAACACAATATTACAAATACAGGGAGTCATAGTATTAGCATAAAGACAGAAGTCTTTATATCTCACTTGCTCAATTTGTTCTTGTTTCCACAAAGCAGATGTTAAAGGGATCCGGGAAAGTATTATGAGCAATTCAAACTAATGACATGAAAAAAATATAAATATTGTAAATTTCTGACATTTATACTACATAACTGTCACACTGTCATGAAAGTCTGGAAACATTTTTAAACTCCAATCTTGGTATGCTTGGGAAGCTTCATAATAAAGGTTAGCAGTATCAACAGTAAACAGTCCCATTGTATGTTGTCACAGTATGCAGGCAACCCAACCAGTATGATTGGTGCATCGGTTTATTGAAGATGTATATAAATTGTGCATATAAAATAAATAACACAGAATAAAATACCCACAATACAATAAAATAAGATTATAAAAAAACAGTACAATAAAAAATGTGGGCAAGCATCTTAATAGAAAAATAAAACTTTGGACTAACATTAATAAAATACTTATTTTTAAAGATAATAAATTATTCAGATTAATAGTGTTAAAGCTGCAATAACAATGTTATTTAATTGTGTACATCAACATCAATGCATTCAACTTTAGCTGCACTGAGCTGTGATTACCTTCCTGCTACTTCTGCTGCACCATTGCTCAAATGATGTAACTGTCGTCGACATCGTCTTCTTCTTCACTTATTTTGGGGGATTTGGTCAATCAAATCCCGCCTTCTTGTCTAATGAACTTTGACATGGACCCAATGGCGACATCACAGTCCTTTAGCCATGCCCCTCGCTCATACCACACCACATCCGGACCCTTGTCCACTCCACATTTATCATAAATGAAGTAATTTGCTAAAATGGTACTAATACCGATACCGTGGCTCTGTGGAGCCACAATAAATCACCGCAGGGGAAGTTACTGCACTGCGACAGCCTTAATTGAACGGAGAGATATGAGAGTGGTATCGATCTCCTCATCTAACTCGTGGCAAGAAAGCAGATAAATGTATCTCCCAAAACTATGAAACTATTGCTTTAATGTGAGTGACACAGTATAGCTAAAACAATTACTAGATAATGTACAAAATAGTCTACAATATGAGAGTTGCACATTTTTTGTGTGAATAAAGTTGTGATGCTAAGCAGAACTCCAAGATGAAAACAGATTTAATAAGATGTGGTAAGAACTTGGACTGATCTGTGAGTCAGCCCACAGACTTGCTTTCAGTTTTGAGATACAAGGTACAAGGTTGTTTATTAGTCATTATACAGCACAAGGCTGCATAACGAAACGAAATTTGGAGTTCCTTCATGCTACACACAACATATAATCAAGTGTAGGCCTATATTAAAATATGGTAATATATAAAATAATATATACAGTTATTTATATACATACAAGTACACACCCCAAAAATTCCACAGTGCATTTTTTGAATTTGCATCTGGGGTGAATGTAAACAGTAGCAACCACATGATAATATGAAAGTTTCTTCACAATAAACAGTCTGACATTTGGGAAACACAGTCCATCCTGACTGTGTCTGAGCACCAAGCATCATCGATGTAAAACAGAGTCCACCTCCTCTCATCTTGCCGGAGTCTTGATGTCTGGAGATCACAAAAGTCCTGAGAAAAAACACATATCTAGGAACTGAATCAGAGTGAGTCATATGTACTCAGAATAATATTTGAAAACCGTTTCCTTTTCCTACCTTCAGCTCTCAAACAGACTTAAATCCCTCTGACTTTGAACACTATCCAGATTTTACTTGACATTAAGCTGTAATGTGTCTAGACCAGCCAGATGGTTAGTTTAATGTTGCTCCATCCAGAGTGCGGAGGGCCTGCTGGTGTATCAGGAACGGCTGAGCTGGCCACCTCCTCCCACGCATCTAATGAGCCGATTGATGATTGGCTGGAGAGTTCACGGGTAGAGATCACAAGTTCAATAAAAAGAAGGGGTAGAAAATCTACACAGAAAATAGAAAGCGGTCGATAGGATGGCTTTGTCCTTCATGGACGATTAGTCACAAGCAGCCTGAATGTCGATATTTCTCATTAGACCTTGGTAAATAGTTTTATACAGATGTGGAGCAGAGGCAAAATGATTTAAGATTAATAGCTTCACAGTGTATAGAACACATAATGTTCAAGGGCTAGACCTGTGTTATTAAAGTTATATTATGGAAGTGAATGTGAATAGGGTGTAATGGGATGTACCATTGTCCTTAATTACATTTTTATGTATTTCTGTGCGTGTTGTTTCTTGCAGGAGGTGTCACTACATTTGTGGCGCTGTATGACTATGAGTCACGGACAGCGTCTGATCTGACCTTTAGGAAAGGCGACAGGCTGCAGATTGTCAACAACACGTAAGAATCAACAGTCATCTGCCTCTCTCTCACCGATGCCACAATTTCACAAAAATCTAAATGAACAGATTTGTAGACACGCATGTGAGCAAATGTGTATGTGAATGAACACAGTCAGAGCTGGTAACTGTGGAGCGAATCATACAACGGAGTCTGATTCTCTCCATCTGTTGACTAAAACCGAGCAGAACGGCACTTTACTAATGCATTCAGTTCCTCTTGGGCAAATGTCGTCATCATCATCATCACCAACATCTTTAAGCTGCTTTATAGAGAGCCTGTCATGGCAAGATCCACACTCACATTCCTGACAACACCTAAAAATGTGTTTTCCTGTGTTGTGGTGTATCTGGGTAGAAGAGACAGAATGTAGATCATAGTATTAGGAAATGAGAAATGCTTTGTGTATTTAAAAGATGCTCTTTCCAAATAAAAGCATCTGGAGTATAATTCCCCTGCAGGTGTTTCAAATCACAACAGTTTTTGTTTTTTTCCTATGAGCTCTGTCCTCCTTCCTGCCATAAGTCTGGTCTGCTGTTCTTTATTGTCTGGCACTACATAGCAGGGCTGAAAAATGTAATGAATTTATACTACTAATATTATTATTGCACAATGAAACAGTTCCAATATCTACATTACAAAACAGTATTCAAGAGTTTTTATTAAAACAAATGTAATTCAGATATTGAATTAAAAGTTGTGAGATTGCATATATGAGACTATAAAGTGAGTCCAGAAATCCCACATGATATGCAGATGTGATCATTTATGCATAGTAAAATTCCACAATCCTCTATTGTAGAATTACTAAAACTTTTACAGACTGCACTGAAGTGGAACTTGAAAAACAGTGCAACTCGTGCAACCCCACTGTGTAGTCCCACAGCCTACTGGGCTCCTCTGCTGTCTGTCTGTGTAGTGCTGCTTGACTTGCTGAGTCCCCACGCTGTGTGTTGATGTGTCTGCTGTGTCTGTTATCTCTCCCCCTCTCTTTCTTTCTCATGCTTCATGGTTTCTCCTAGGAAAAAGTACAGCTTCAGGTCAGTAATACTTAATGCAATAAAAAATCTCACGCAACTTTTTGCTCACAGTCCCTTTGCTGCTGCGCGGATTTGTCTGATCAGTTTCGTAGTGTAACTGCAATGAATTGGAGACAAGATATAGAGGATTTTTTTTATTTGGCGCTCTAACTTGTAGAGCAACAGATGTAAACTGAGGGACTACAAGTGGAGCAAAAGGTTGCCTGTGTCTGTCGATTTCCTCTCAACAATATGTTTTTCCTTTTCACTGTGTGCACTGAGGTGTGGGATGAGATGTGTATTATTTTTAAACCCAAATTTTTAAGTTTCCTCTTTGCTTTGTACACTGAGAACACTGAGTCATTACTCAAGCAATGTAAAAGTTTCAACATGTATTAGAAGTAAACTTTCTGACTAAGACACCATCTGAATGATCATGTGGTGCAGATACTGTAATATTTCATGGATGAGTTAGGTTATTGCTTTATGTTTTTGTAATTGGCAACAAAATCCCATGAAAAGACTAAAACTATACACAAGGTTATCCAGCTAACAAGTATTACCTGTGTGGTCAAAAGCTTATTCCTCTGTGCCATTGACCTAAACTATTAAGCTGTTGTTAGGTTTAAGTGAATCCCGCACATACCTTCCATGGGCCATAAATACTTACAAAATGTATTTATCCACAGCTGAAAAAAGTCCCTAACAAATACATAATATACTCCTGTTTGCTGTAAACTACAGGGTCCGGCTGTTTTAGGAATTCATTTAGCCTTTTTTACAAATTAAACTATATATTCATCACTCTTTTTAGATTTCTTTTCATACTATTTGTTGACAACAAGAAAAATATAATAGTCTCTTAATGGGAAATAAAGTAAAAGATCATTAAACCAAGTAATGTAATGTTTGCCTCAGTCAGTTTTATGTTTATGGGTTGACTGTCTTGCTCTGTCTCTCTCTCTCTCTGTCATAGAGAAGGGGACTGGTGGCTCGCCCGCTCCCTGACGACAGGAGAGAGTGGTTATATCCCCAGCAACTATGTGGCTCCGTCAGACTCCATCCAAGCAGAAGAGTACATTATCCTCTCCTTTTTCCTACAGAGATTTAAGGCCTTTCTTAGTGCAGCGCTTAAATGTGCTCAATACTATATCTACTTATACACACTAACATAAAGAGCACAGAGACAATATTTTCCAATATACCCTCCAGTACAGTATTCTTTATTTCCCATCAAAAAGTATTTCTGCCTGCCTGCTCCAGACACTCAGTAGTAGCTTCTTACTGATCTCATTCTCTGTGGCCCACTTTGGCAGGTGGTATTTTGGGAAGATCACTCGGCGTGACTCAGAGAGGCTCCTTCTGAACTTACAGAACAGACGAGGAACCTTCTTGGTGAGGGAGAGTGAGACCACTAAAGGTGAGAGAGCAGACTTTTTTGTCACTTCAGAGTCTACTAGATCTTCTGCTTTTCTCAGTGTCAGTATAATGATTTTTATTAAAGATATTATATTACCCATTTCAGGCTATATTACATGGAATAAGCTTTGAGACCTGCACGGACAGTTGCAATCAGTTTGTCAATCAACAGAAAATTCACATCACTCACTTTGTTTCTTCATTTAAAGATTTTTTATTAAAGCAAAAATTCCCCACATTCACTAGATTCTCAAACATTAGCATTTGATGCTTTTCTTTCATAATAGTTTGACTGAGCTGTTTAAATATGTCAACTTGAATTTTAGGAACATTTGATGTCCTATGACATTTTAGGGAGATTAACCAATAATGAAAATAACCATTAGTTGCAGCCCTACCTGTTAGTTAATTCTCAGGATAACAGGCAGTTGCTTTAAAAAAATGGTCAGACATTATGAGAACAAGCAGAGAATTGCATTATTATGTTGAAATCTTTCTGCAGGCCTTTTCTGAAAGACAAAATAAGTTTCAAAATGACAAAAGAATGAGTTGTGTGTCCTGGCTGTGCAGCATGGTGTTGCATGCCTTATCAGAGGAAATTCTGACTACAAACCATGTTTCATTAAAACCTGAGCTTTTTATTTTGTGCTCGCTGGGTATTTAAAATGTGTGAAAAAAGGACGTGATCACACTTTCTCTGTGTCCCCGGAGCTTACTCAGTGCAGCAAGTGTTATCTTACTTTGAAATAAGTAGATCTTTAGGGACTCAATTTGAAAGAGGCAGAACCTCGTAATTAAGTCATTTGTTAACTTTTTCACAGCCCAATGGTGCTAAATCGTTTGTTCTCTGGGCTTGAGAGGTTTTACAGCTTTTTCTGAAACTCTGCTGTCACATGTAGTCCCTTTGACGTAGGTGGGCTCTTTAGGGGGGTTTGTTTTGGTGGAAGTGGGATAAAAGGGAAAAGAGCACAGTGGAGTGGATAGGGACTTGTGAATGGAGAGGGGTGAATCACTCTGTCAGAACTAGGTCAACCTAGGAGGGTGCTGGATTTCCCTCTGGCTATAAGTCTCTGTTCTCCCAACGCACGCGCACACACACACTGAGAGAGGGGAGGAGAGGCATGGAGAGGGGGAAGAATAGTAAAGGAGGAGATTTGTAGGAAAGGAGAGTAGGAAAGGGAGAGTAGGAGGATATCTGGCAGGAGGTGTGTAGACCTCTGGGCGCATTCTGTATTAGATGTCAGATGTGAAGTTCATAGTGTGACACATAGGAGCAGAAGCTGCTCATATGTTGTATGAAATGTAAATCATGTCAGACAGTTAATGATACATCTGATCATTTGTCCTGCTCAGGCTAGAAGCACACAAGTTGTAACCCATCATCTAGTGTTTACGCATATGAGTGGAAGAATGGATGTAAAATGGGTTCACTTTTGTAGTTGTTGTGTCAGTGCATAATGTGAAAGCATTGTATTCCTCACAAATTTAGTTAGGTTGTAGTATCTGTATTTATAGTTTAAGAAAGCCAGTAATGTCTGGTCTTTAGCATGGAAGTTAAAATAGGTCAGTGATTAAGCTGCTGTAATAGTACTGTGATGATAAGGTACTTCAGGTCATTACACCGTCTTTGTGCAGTGTGTCTTCACTGCACTAGATTTTCATTCTGACGTGGGAAGAAGAGTGAACATCATTTAGCAGAGCTCCAGATCAAAGATGATTGATTTTTCATTTTTCTTTTACTCAAGAACCCTGTGCTGTTTGGGTTTGCTAAGTCCATTCAGCTTTTTAAATCACCTCAGATCAACACATGGATTTGAAGTTTGATTCCATTTATTGTTCTTTTTGACCTAATAATCAATTTTTTAAAGTAGCAGTACAAAACAAATAACTGTCACTGTTTTACTCAGTAAGATGGTATTTAGTAGTGGACCGGCCGTGGCAAGGACCGAAAGGCTTAGTTGAATTTCCAGGGCCCATGAAGGAGCCAAAAGGGGCTTGCCCAGCACAGCTGCTAGGAAACTCCACCAAGCAGCTGTCATACAGGCTCAGATACGCCTAGTTTTGTTGCTCTAACCTGTCTCTGTCTGTCGTTCTGTCTTGTTCACAGGGGCATATTGCCTGTCAGTGCTGGATTATGATAACACCAAAGGCCTGAATGTTAAACATTACAAGATCAGGAAGCTGGATAGCGGAGGTTTCTACATCACCTCCCGCACCCAGTTCACCAGCCTTCAGCAGCTAGTCTTCCACTACCGCAGTGAGTGCTGAGACACATCTGCTCTCAGATGCTAAAGAAATGCCAGTAGCTGTGATAATTTTACATTTTATACAGCTGTTGCCCTTAACCTAGCCCTCTTCCCTCCTTCAGAGCACTCTGATGGGCTGTGCCACGCTCTATCAGACGTGTGTCCTGTGGCCAAACCTCAGACCCAGGGACTGGCCAGGGACGCCTGGGAGATTCCGAGAGAGTCCCTCCGCCTTGACCTTAAACTGGGACAGGGCTGCTTTGGAGAGGTCTGGATGGGTAAGACCTACACACCATCCCTTTTTAGTGGAATGGATTGAATTCCTCTCACACCATTGCAGATAGATAGGTTATACATTGGATATACAAAATATGAGGATCAAGTGCACTGATAAAGTGAATCCTGGTAAAAAGCTATTATAGCAAATGTATTTCTTACTAAAGGAACATTTTGGGAAATATGCTTATTCACTTCCTGGAGGGAGCTAGATGTGAAGATTGATACCAGTCTGAAGTCTGTTTGTTAGATACAAGACTACAGTCAGCAACCGGTTAGCCACAGACAGAGCCAGGCTAGCTGTTTCGTTATGTTTCGTTATGCTTAGCTACACTAACAGGCTCCAGAGAAAGTGTATTTTCCCCTATTTATCCTTTCAGTCTACATTATTTGAGGAGAAGATATACCACTCTATCAAAGACATGATAAAATTAAGTTGTGTTTTCTGTGACAGGTACGTGGAATGGTACAACACGGGTAGCCATTAAGACCCTTAAGCCTGGCACCATGTCTCCAGAGGCCTTTCTTCAAGAAGCACAGGTCATGAAGAAGTTGAGGCATGAGAAGCTGGTCCAGCTGTATGCTGTTGTATCTGAGGAACCTATCTACATTGTGACAGAATATATGAGCCAAGGTAATACAGGATACAGACTGTCAACCGTAAGTGCTGGGTATCAAGCTAATACTTGTTACTTACTGAAATGCTTCTGTAGCACAGATAATTGTAAACTGTCAAGTATTGAAAGCTGGCATCAAATACTTGCTCAGACTCATAATCTTGTTTACATAACTAAAATAACTTTATATTTCTCAAAATAGTATGGCAACATTAATAACAATACCTATAAATTACTACCTGTAATAAAACAATAATTTGCTAACAAACAGACCTAGATTCTCTAAGGTTTACACATAATGGATAATTGGTCATTTATTTGGTGGTTTTTCAGTGAAGTACATTGAGAGCAACATAAAAACAGAGTCAAATTCCTTGTACGTGTAAGCATACTTGGCCAGTAAAGCGCTGATTCTGATTTGATGCATTATGTACAGCTCTAAACATTTGTTACATTCACAGGTAGCTTACTGGACTTCCTTAAAGGGGAAGCAGGAAAGTTGCTTCGTCTGCCTCAGCTAGTAGACATGTCTGCTCAGGTAAAATTACTTATGGTTTAGCCACAATAAAACACTGTACAATATTTGTATTTATTATAAAATACCTGTTCTCACGTCATCCAGATTGCAGCAGGCATGGCCTATGTGGAGAGGATGAACTACGTCCACAGAGACCTGCGTGCTGCCAACATCTTGGTGGGAGACAACCTGGTGTGTAAAGTGGCTGACTTCGGTCTGGCAAGACTCATTGAAGACAATGAGTACACTGCTAGACAGGGTGAGTCCACACTTTCTCTTATATTCAGATTATTCAAAAATTTTATTCATGTAAAAAGAAGTGAAAACTTAAGAATTGGAAAGACGTGCTGTAAAAAAATTATGTTTTTTGTTCTACAACATGGTGCTTTTTAAATTTTATTCACTTGAAAATATTTTTTTTTTTAAAAACCTTTTTGTTTAGGAGCTAAGTTCCCAATCAAATGGACCGCACCGGAGGCAGCTCTGTACGGTCGTTTCACCATCAAGTCAGATGTCTGGTCGTTTGGTGTGCTGCTCACAGAGCTGGCAACTAAAGGCAGAGTCCCCTATCCAGGTGAGGACTCCACAAATCAGCAAAGACTCTGCACCTGAACAATTCCACAATTACTCTGGGATATTGTGATGGACAGTTTTCACTATTTTCTGACATTTTTATAGACAAAACAAAAAATCTGCAGATTAATCGATTATAATAATAACTGTTAATTGCAGTTAATATTTAGGAATTCAAACGTTAAACATCAAGTACTCATTGCCACAAAAAATACATTTGATGTTGGTGTTTTGCAAGTTAAATAATTTCATCACCATCAGATTTACTGTGTTAAAAATACTGTTGTTATTTTGAGGAAGAAGATCTGTCTGACTTCCTGTCTCTCTCGGCAGGTATGGTTAACCGGGAGGTGCTTGACCAGGTGGAGCGAGGCTACAGGATGCCCTGCCCAGCAGAGTGCCCCAGCTCCTTGCACGAGCTCATGCTTTCCTGCTGGAGGAAGGACCCAGAAGAGAGGCCTACGTTTGAGTACCTGCAGGGCTTCCTAGAGGACTACTTCACCTCCACAGAACCCCAGTATCAGCCTGGGGAGAACCTATAGAACCACACACTGAACTGACCCTGGGGGGTGGGGGGTGGGGACGTCAAAACAGAATGATCTGCACTAACCGACCTCAGAGGAGCGCCTGTGGGAGGATCTGAGCCTGTGAAACTCACCTGGGAGGAACTTGAGATTCTTCTGTGGAAGCAAAACTGAGATAGAAACTTGCAAAAGTCCCATCATGTACCATGAAGGAACTGCTACAGAAGAACCTGGACGGCCTCCTTTCTGCAAGCACTCACTGTTAACTGACAGTTTTCCTGTAGAAGTGAGAGTCAAGGCTATAAAGGAGAACTCCCGCTGGACAGACTCTGGCTTTGATTTGATCGAGGGACTACACTTGCGGGTATATGTTTTTGAGAGGTGCGTCTGATGTGGGAGGAACCTAATCAGGATCTGCAGACGGCGCTAAAGGGAAAAGGATAAACCTGTCGAAGAGAGAAGGTCAAGGGAGGATATTTCAATCGGACATGAGCTGTTTAGCAAAACCTCCCTCTTTCCCTCTTCTGTCTTGTCTCTTTATCCTCGTCTGGTACCTTATCCGCCCACAGAAGAGCACTGTCACTGTGGCTCAGGTGCCAAAGGAAATTCTGTCTCTCTTAACGTCCTTTATGTCCCTTCTGCCCCTTTCCTCCCTTCCTCTATTTCTGTCTGACTTTCAGTATCTCTCTCCAGTTTTCTCAAGTGCTGCTTCTTCAAAGTGTCTCCAAATAACACAGCTCTGGAACTCTACTTTGCATCTTTATTTATATTTACTTGGACAATATGTGGATTGAGGGTTTGTTCAGTGGCAGACAAAGTTTCCTGATTTGTCTTTATTTGTTTTTTATTTTATAATCAATAGTATGAACCACTATCATGGTAGTGCCAGGGTAAATGGACTCAACAGGCAGGTTCTGTAACACTGAAATTGTTAAATTTAAGGCATTTCTGTCTTAAACCCTCCTTCTCTTTTCCAGCTGTATTTCTTGACAAGCTGAAAAGCCAGCTGGATCCAACCTGGATGATTAAAAATGATTTTGATGCAGATAGTGTTTGAACGCTTGTTTGTTTTGGTTGACCTTGATTTAACTGGAAAGTTGCATTGAAAATAATCAGCATGGCTATAGTGGCACTAAGGAGCAGTTTTAATAGTCATCAGCTCATTTCTTCAGAGGCATAAATGGGGTAACTTTCATCAAACATTTATGTGACCTACTAAGAGGCTGAGATGGCTACCAAACTAATCATATGACCGTCCAACTCGGCACAAAATGTGAAAACCCTGAGTCTAAAAGCCTTCGTTGTGTGCCAAACAAATCACATTTCATTACTGCTGTCCATGTATATAATGTTTTTATTATCAAGGGGCTTATATGGGGTTTTTAGTTCTTAAACACAAAATTGCTTACTTACAGTTTACAATAAAACTGCGCCATCTCCCCAGTAAACAATCTGTTGTGGTGGTGAGTAAACAGGACAGATCAACCTGGTACTGTTTGCTGAAGGATTCAAAAGGTTTTCATTCACTTTGCAGCTGTTGTGTCCATAAAAATATGCAACCAGGTGGCCCTAATGAAACTGTAAACCTCTGATCAGGTAACCCTAATAAAACTGTGTTTATGACTTACTATAAGAGTTGATTTTAAAACCACTTAGCATGCGTTTGTGCTGTTCTTCTCTTGAGCATTGGCTGGGTTTGTATTTATGCTGTACTGTACATCAACAAGTGTATGTTTACTATACTCAAGGCTCCGGTGAGGCAAGGGCATCATAAACAGACTCCTGAGCATTTGTGCCATCAACCTGTAATTATTTTTGTTATCTTACCCTCTGCTGCCAGTTCTCACGGTCATACTGTACATACTGTAGCTCTTTAGAGTTGGTTTTTTTGTATCATGTAAGCCACTTTCAAATGGCAGGTATTTATGTTGGATGTCACACATTTCACAGTGGTTTAGTTTGACGTCGTCGATGCAGCAACAGTAGATCTAAAGTTATAGATTGATGTCAACAGATACTATGAAACCAGTTATCAAAAATATGAGCCATGCAGCCATAGAGATGATGATCCATGCCCACTAACACCATGAAATTATTATCCAGTGAGGAATCCTGATGGCTAATGTAACATTATATTGAATATTAACATTCAATAATGTGGATACTTGTAAAACGACAATGAACAAGGAGTTTGGGTTGTGATGTGAAATGAAAAATGAGGTCATAGATGTAAATAGTATCTTAAATGACTGTGACTATCATGTAATTTGTTTTTGTGTCGTTTTTCTTTAATTGCTCCTCCATGTGGAGGTTTTTACAGTGCGCCTGCTCCCAAAATGTTTTAATAAGATGCTACTGTAAATGGTGTTTAAGGAAGGTTTTTTTCTTTTTTAATATTGGACTTAATATAAAATCTTAGTGTTTGAAAGCTATCACATCTGCAAAAGACAATTTTAAATTGGGCTTGATATATATAATTTCCAAGAACATATCAGCGCTTTCCTCCTTTTTAGAATGGGAAATACCCTGTTTGTTCTGATGCACTGAACCGCCTATAAGTCTCTGGGACAATGTGGAAGTTGATGGGCTCATGACAAGTATGAGTAACGCCAAGGTCTGATTGGATTCTCTGTGCCATATTAAAGAAGTGTTTGGGTGGGTTTTTTTTAATGCTTTTTTTTTTTTTTTTTAAGAATCTATGCAGTTTCGGTCTGGCATTCCTGCAACTTCATGGCCATATTCTTCTAAAGTCAAAAACGATGATCATAAACCGAAGGTGTGAGCATTTTTGTAAGGACTTCTTTTGTCTTTTTATTTTGTTTCCGATGTAACAGGATTGAAATGGGTATCGTGCCACTTTGTTGATCTTTAAATGTGCAATAAATTATATTTCAAATGTGTTTTGATAAGAGTGTGTTCTGGTGTGCGTGCTGTCCATCGACTTGGAAATATTGTGCTGTTCGCACATGACTAACTTCTTAATAGAGTGATGAACATGCTGGAAAGTTTGAGAAGTGAGAATCATCAGTTCAGGTTGCCAGAATTTTCCGGACATTTAGGCAAAGTAAAGAGAATTTAATGAATGAAATGAAGTACAATGAAGAAAATGTGTGTTTGCTGCTGAAAATGTACAATTTAACATTTGAAATAGTTGAAATACAGAAAGATGTCGACTTTGTAGTTGACGTCTATATACAAATAAAATAGTTACAATAGAAGTGCTGAAGGAAGTTGACATTCAAATCAAGTTCAAGCAATGAAAGAAGATAAAATGTCAGCTGAAGTGAAAGTGATTAATAAAACTGGAGTAGAAGTCCTGAAAGAAATTAGTGCCTGTCCAAGTAAATTGATTTCAGTTGAAGTGTCTGCTGACGTGGACACACTGAAATTTTGCATGAAATATGTGGGAGTTGGAAGAGCTGAATATGTTTTTTTGTTGTTTAAATATGAGGACCTGAAAACTGGAAGGGTTTGAATGTTTAAGGGTTAGCTTTGAAAGAAGTGGAAGTGTCAATCAGCATGTGATGTGAGGAGCATCAGTTCAAGTTGCCAGGAAAGTTAAGTAAAAAGAATTTCATGAATGAAATGAAGTATAACATATTTATCCTTCATTTGCTATTTTCACATACTGTCAAATATGTAACTCAGATCAGATTGTGGCTTAACCAGGTAAAACCCAAGAGAGACATGGAAACCAATTCTCTTAGTTTCAAGTCTTATTGAAGGCCCTTCCAAAAGAGGGGTGCAGAGTCATGTATTGACTTGCTGTGGAATTATTTACTTTATTCCCCATATTGTGATTTAGATCAGAAAAATATTCTCTTTATAATAATAATCTCAGCATTATTGCTCTAGATCAGATGTGTCTTGGCATTCTACAAGCCTCATATGAAGCATCCGCAATACCCAATTATCTGGTTATTCAGCAGAGCTCGTTGGATACTTTTTACCTTTTGATTTTGTCAATTACTTATATGATATTTGGTTCGGTTTGTTTTTTTAGTTCTTATAATAGATCTTAATGTAAAACTTTGAGTACCTGTCTTTATTTTGATAAAGGTTGGTGGACTCTGGAAACACCAGGAACTGATTTGTTGGATCTTTTTAAATTATTATAATGTCAATTAACCAAAACCAAGAAAAAGCTTGTCTGTGTGGCCACAGCTGAACATGGCTTACTTACATCAGAGTCAGCTTTTATACTGAATCTGTTTACAAGACAGTCCATGAGGAACATGTAGGTATAGTCTGGTTCAGGTTCCTTCTGGGCATGACAGTCGGCCCCCGCTAAACTCTTTTTTTTCTGCCCACATGGGGGCAGTATTTGTCAGGAGTATCAATGACACTCGGTGGCCTAGGAGCAGCAGGCCATGTTGAGCTGCAGACCAGCAGCAGCAGATTGTAACCCACCTGCTGTGGCGGCCTCCACTGAACAATATTAACCTTTGGTAGTCGTTTATAGACAGAGTGATGGATGAAGGCCAGAGACGCATTTTTCAGAAAATCTCACTTATGGCACTGTACTAGTTTAAAATTCATTACATATGGGACAACCTCATTGGAACAGTGTTTTCACTTTTCCCCTCTCCTTTGCTTTGTGTCAAAATCCCCTGCAAGTATAGCTGCAACTGATTACAGATGAGCTCTCCCCCTATACTGGCTTAAATCGGAGGCTATATTGAGCCAATCGGCAGCTGATGTTTCACCACTAATGAGTAGCTACTCTTTCCTGCGGTTTTCTGCACTGCTGTGATTAGAAGCAAAAATATATCAGTTGATAAAATGCTTCATTTCTAACAATATATCTGTGTGTGTGTGTGTGTGTGTGTGTGTGTGTGTGTGTGTGTGTGTGTGTGACTGGTTGTTGTTTTTCCCATCTGCTGAGCCGAAGTACAAGTCATTTATCTCAGTTATCCAGACAGTGTCAGAGCTCCATCTGTGAAAACAGTAAACACACTGACTCACACTCTCTAAGTGACTGCCATTGATACCAGACAAGAGAGCACTGCGGATACACACAAGGATATAGGGTGTCTGCACACACACACACACACACATAAACTCACAGGGCTACAGTTACTGTTTGCTTTCATCTCATTACAGTGACAGAAGCATGGCAGCCTTGGAGAGAAGCGGGATAATAGTGGTGTTTTGTTTTTCTTTTCTTTTTCCATTAGTAGTCCAGGTCCTCTCCTTTAAATGATCCCTGTTTGTCTGCATACAGTTAACAGGCCTCAGTTTGGTTTTGTCAAAGTTTATGTTTTGTTATTTCAAGTGTTTTCACTGTCAATCATCTGACACAGGAAAAAATTAAGTCGAACCACTGTGTAAACTCTCTCTCAATGGTGATCTTCCTACTTAGTCAATGTTAATGTTGACACCATAAAGTGTCATGTGAAAATGTAATAGAAATCAAAACTAAAATGATAATTAAATGCAACATCCATCACAAAATAATTGGCAGAAAAATTAAATAAAGGCAAACAGACTGTAGAGCGCACACATTTAAAACCCTTCTGACCAAAGTGAAGGCACAAGTCAGACAAAACGCCCATGCACACTGAGAGCTGATGATCATTTTAATTTAATGAGAGCTATGTTTCTATCAGAGATTTCCGTCTGACACACCAATATTCACTTTTAAAACTCCGTGTAAGAAGTGTAAGATTGGGTTTGTAAGCATCACATAAGCATCACAGGGGAAGCTTCCATAAACAAGATTTCTGTTAACTTAAGTAGTGTACTTAGCACTTATTTTTTAGGTATTTACTTGAATATTTTCATTTCCTTCCACTTTGTGCTTCTGCTGCCATACATTTCAGAGGGAAACACTGTTCATTTTTACAGCTATAGATCCTTGTTACTTTTCAGATTAGGAGTTTCCATTCAAAACATATGATCATCTTATAATATGCGATGCATTGTTGTAGATTCAAGAATCCAGCAGTATGTAAAGCTTTTGCTATGGCCACTGCATGTAAAGAATCTGTCTCTATAACTTAACCTATGCTGCTGTTACAACCCATATGTCAGTGTAAATGGAGCTGAATGAGCTGGGCAAACGGATATGAGCAAGAGCTATTACCATTGTAGATTTCTGATAAATTTTTAACTCGTTTTTTGTTTGTTCACTACTCCTTTTTCACTTCCCACACCCCAATTTCTCATCTTTGCCTTTGCCTCCTACTTGTTTTTCCTGTTCCTTCTTCTCTGACTCTTTCTTCAAACACTTAGATATTCTGTTTGAAGGTAGGACGTACTCCAGGAGGTGGAAACTGACCCACATGTTCTCCATCAACCAACTTCAAACACCGGGAAGATCACTCAGCGACGTGTACGAACAATCCAGTCAGTTTCCTCTGTGCTCGACTGCTCCTAATGACTCTCCCAGACTCTGAAGGATATTCAGCGTGCAGCTTGTGAATAGAAACAAGAGATTCTTTTTGATATCAGGGGACGAACAGGTGTGCAGACAATCCCACACTTTAATCAGTCTTCCTTTGTTGTGAAGTGCCACGCAGTGTTGACAGAGCTGTTTTGGAGACCAACCTGCATGACTGCCTTACAAGTTGCCTGCCAAGTTGCCACGGGTTATGGAGCTCTTTGTGGCATGAAGTTGCACCCTTTAGCTATTACTGATATCAGTCGCCTTGGCAGGAGAAATTACGCCTGCAGTGTAGTTCTGACTTGCTAGCGAGATCTGTTTTGGGACAGTTTTGATATGCATGAAAACCTGTCCACACATCTTCTTGAGACCTGACAATATGTGCCGCGTTTTCCCACTGTTTTGATGTGGGAACTAGTCTAGTCATCTCTCTTCAATGTGGATTCAAAAGGGTTTTTTTTTTTATGGCATTATCTAACACCTTTTCATTGCCTTTCATTATTTTGTTTTTAGAGGTTTTGGGTCCTGGATGAACAAAAGTAGTATAATAATCTGTTTTTTTTTTTATAATAATCTGTTTGCAGGGTTGCCAGGCAAATCTGTCTGCTTTGATTCCATGCTATTCTTTGCAGCATGTTTGTGGTATTATGGCTTAGATTCGTATATACACATACTTCACTGAATAACACTAACACACTAAGTATAATGTATCAACACATTTCTTCTTTCATTCTTCCTCTTTATTAGCCATGCTAGTACCACAGGTACTATTGATGGGTTGCCATGCATTTTTCTACAGTCATTGTGCCCAGAGAATGAATACTAATGATTTTGGTGGTCCCCTGACTTTTACAGTAGTGCCACCATGAGGTAGGCATTCGTGGTTTTGTCTGAGACTGAGACTTTCATGTCTCTTTTAGAATAAACTGCAATAACTTTAGTGATCCCCACACTTTTCATCTAACACCATCATCAGTCAAAATTTATTTATTTTTATTAGTATGATTGAAATGAATTTATATGAAATGACTGCTGATAGAAAAGCTGACTTTTCATCTTACACCACCATGCGGTTTACATTTGTGGTTTTCAGTGAAATGTCAACAACTAAGCTACTGAATGGATTGCCATACAATTTAGGTGACACATCCATGTTACCTTTAGGAGGAATTCGTCTAGTAAAGCCTTCACTCTTTGCTTTTTGACTACATACTCCCACAGCTAATGACATCCCCATCCGCCTCAGCTGTAATTTCTTTTTTGTGCAGCATGCACACTAAATTGACAGTTGAACACGATAAACGTTATACCTGCTAAACATCAGCATTAGTGTTGTCATTGTGAGCGTGATAGCATTTAGCTTAAAGCAATGCCAAGTTCATGGCTGTAGGCTCTTAGTGTTGTTTCTTTCTTTCTGCCTTTCTGCCTTTATTTCTTTCCACTCTCCCTGTCCACTCTTCTCCCTGCTCATAAATCCTCCTTCCCTTTGTCAGCTCTCCTCCCCT